AGGGGGAGGGGTCTTGGGCCAAAATAACCTTGTCCCCGGGGAATTAGGAGATGTTTCCCGTCACCAGCGCCCAGGGTAGCGCGGGGTGCTAGACTTGGTGCTGGGAAAATAAACATTCTGCAAATTGGGCCACAGGTAGCGCCCCACGCTACCTGTGGCCCTGGAAATCGCCATTTTAACTTTTTCTCCTTTTTGGCTCTAATCTCGTACCTTTCGCTTCTATTGCCTCCGGATGATTCCTACATATAAACAAACCACGAATTAACATAAATCAATACATTTTACATCCGAAATCCATAAAACACGAGTAAAATATGAGGCGATATATATATATATATATATACTTTAAGCTAAATATCAACACCCCACACATAGACTGTTGCTCGTCCTCGAGCAACGAGACTATCAACTAAACCGCCACAACGTACACATCTCAACTAGAGAGGATCACTTCAATTATTTAACCATACACGCTACCCTTGACTATGATCGATACCGACAATTAAAGCATGAACATACAAAATTCACATTCTTCCAGTTTTAAACATGCCCAAGTATATCATTTCAATTCAAACAACCTATCTGTAACTACCCTACATCAAGAGCCGACTCGTTACCACTAAGCACCCTTACTTGCGCATTCACCCAACAAGAGAAATTTACAACATTACCAATCCTTCATGAGATCATGTGCCCTCACCAACAAATAAAAGAGTGAATATAAAGTAGTCCACACATTCAAGTATGCATTTGAATATAATTTAAGGACATCACACAATTGAACAAAATTCGCTCACTCTCACAAAGAATTTCATGTGCATCTCATGGTTGTACCATAAACTTGTCCGTAGTGTACATCTCTACTAATCTAAGCTAGGCAAATCTAGGATCAATTAGGACTTTAAGGTTGTAGTGTAGGCTAAGGGACGGGTATGATACATTTAGGCATAGTGACTAACTCTACTAAGCACTTTAATACACTACACTCACAATTCGAGCACATATTCTTCTCAACCAATTCACTTGCCACAAACCATATACAACATAGCCTTTTTTTCAATTAAGCACCTCTATACTCCCACTAGCATGAATTAGTAAGATTATGAGGTGTGTGTTTCTCTACATTATTTGAACTACTATTTTTTTCCTTCTTGATTTTTTTTTCTTTTTCTCTTTTTTTTTCTACACACACTCCATATATTAAGGTTCTTTGGCTAGTGACCTTTTCCCCCACAACTTTAGTGTACCTTAAAGGCCCTTCCATGGTTCCACTCGAAAGTTACTCCCTAATCTCTCACCTTACTTCTTTTAGCGACTAAGTGCCTTAGGAGGTAAAGGTTCAATAATCTCAAATTAAGAACGAAAGAGGGGTACGACTTGTAATATGGGTTCCAAGGAAAAGGTCTATAGGCTCAAAGGGGCTAGCAACGGAAAATTTTATTTTTAAGTGACAAGCACATCTATGATCAAGCAAGAAATGCCTACGTCATCTCCTAGACTAGCACAACTTATTGATTTCTCTTCGGTTAACACACAGAGCACGTTCTAGACTACACAGGATGACACATAATATCATAAATCCTCACACACACATTGCACATAACTCAATCAAGACGGTTCTGTTCAACTCTCAAGTCAAACAAGCACATATAGTTGAGAAATTTTGAGCAATATTGCACTATATGGCATACAAGTCGAACAACTAAGAAAAGGCATCACAGAATAGGCTATTTATTTTACTCGGGCATCACCATTCAAATCCAACGCACGGAAAGACAGAGTGCATGCCATAACCTAGTATGCCAGCACCAAACACGTCAATAGGTATCTCAGAGCAACTCAGTTTCTTCCTAACCTACTCCTAAAAAATAAATAAAGTACCCGGTTCGAGCTACATCCTTGGAAAAGAACCGGCGCCCAAAGAAAAAGTGTTGCTCCAAAACGCACACCCAAGTATACGTGGTCGACAAGTAATATAGGATTGTAAGTCCATATATCGTACCCACATGGACTTGTGATTAACTATTTACTAAATTAAACTAAGACAATTAATCTATTCAAGAACTTTTCTAAAGATTATTAACTACAACTAATCTAGAGTCGAAAACTAAGAAATTAAAGATAACAAGTCTGCAATCTTATAGATGAATTCAATGGGAGAAAATATTCCGGAGTTGTGGGTTAGCTAAAAATTCCGTTGAGTTTTCCACTTAAATCGTCTAATTAATTTATTTGGTTTATTGATTGACATGGTTAATATTGCTCGTAGCCTTCTCCTGAAGTACTACTCGCATATTCAAGCTAACTTAACGCCTGTATTCCTATGGAATTAGGATTAACAAGAACGCATTAATAATTCCCGTATAATAATCAAGTAAGGGGATTAGGTATATTCCTATCCTAACTGCAAATCCGTTCCCGATGCTCGAGTTTAAGATCTTGCTCTACTCAATCTTATATGCAATCTAGAATTTCCTCTCCCGAGTTCAATCCTAGATTCGTAGATAGTATTTAATTGGTGATCAAGAAATCAAATAATTAAGCGCAAGATTGAATAAATAAATAAATATGATAAAATAATAAGAACAATTCAAGCTTCTATCACAACCCAAAATCCAAACCGTCGTGATGGCACCTAACCCAACCCACTAGGTAAGTCAATTAACAAAATAACATAATATAATAACGCTGATGTGAATCAAAGATGTGATAATTGAATTTTATATAACTTCCCAAGGACTGGTAGTACAAATCATGAGCTTCTAAGATTTAGAATTTACAAAGCTGGTATGAATTTAAGTACATCATCTGTTTGAACTGTACAAGAACAAATTAAAACTCTAAAGCTACCAAGATCAAGAGGCAGCTATAACCGGAATGCAGGTGCATTTTCAGATCCAGCTCCCGCCGTGCACATCAACATCAGCATCCAACATCTGCACGCAAGGTGCAAAAATATAGTATGAGTACAATCGACCCTATGTACTCAATAAGTAACAAACCTATCCTTAGGTTGAAAGTAGTGACGAGCTGGGACAGGGGTCAGAGTCCAACTCCAATAACCAGTAACAGTCATAGCAATAATAATAAAATGGTACATGAAAATAACTCAGAGGTAAGATGCTCTGCTCGTTCACAGTTATAGAAAGATAGGCATGCTTTTCAAGTATAATAGTAAATCCCAAATCTTCCACCGAAAGCACCAAAAGCATATGAATAAGTTTGTAAATCGTGATTTTTTCCAAAAACTTTTCAACAATAAATAAGATGTTTCATTTTCAGATAGCATGAGGAAAATACATCTATATGCCTACATGTCAATATACAGGTGAAATCATGAATGTCACCTAAGCTGGGTAGCCGAAGGGAATGCATCTCTATGCATGTATCTCAAGTACGCAGGTCAAATGCAATGCATCTCAATGATGAACTCATGTACTCACCCTCTCAGAGTACTCCATCTCACTGTCTCATATTCTCACTCATCATGCCCAATACTCATCACACTCAGTCACTCAGTATTGTACAGGGCAGATCCAGCCCACATGCAAATAAACCAAGGCAGATCCAGCCCAAAGATGCAAATAAACCAGGGCAGATCCAGCCCAATACAAATGAACCAAAATGCAAATAAACCAGGGTAGATCCAACCCAATGCAAATGAACCAGGGCAAATCCAGCCCAATGCAAATGATTGCTAGCAATTGCACCCACTATGGATGTGCAGACTCCAGAGGGGCCGATCCAACCCAAGCGTTATAAAAAGCCAAATTCGGGCATGGATCAATAAAGCTTGCTGCGGCGTGCAACCCGATCCCATAAATATCACTCACAATAGGCCTTCAGCCTCACTCAGTCATCAATATCTCCAATCTCTCGGGCTCACAACACTCATGCTAAGCAGCCCAAATCAATGATATGAGATGTGACAATATACAATAATAGA